GGGAAGTAAAGGTTTTACGTATTTCTACTGCGCGTGTAACTTGTAACCAATTTGTCGTTAGATGGTGCCATAAGACAGCATGGCAAAGCTAGATAGGTCCAATATGGTGCAATGGATGCCGCTTTGGCTGTCCTGAGGACCATCTCCTCACAGGTGTTGTCTGCCCGCCCTGCATGGATGATGGACCGCATGCCCTGTTTGCAGTGTGGGCCCTGGGGCCTGCTGCTATTGCACGGCTGGGTGCAGTGGAAACAAAAATGGTGGCAGCGTGCCATGGTGCAACCATGCTGTCCCACTTCTCCAGGTCTGTGGGGCTGTAGGTATCTAATGTCACCTCCATGCTTCCACCAGCAGGAGATGCTGTGACAGCAGGTGTCACGCTGGAAGAGGACAGGAGACCCCATGGACATGGGCCGGCCTGGGGAGGGTCCCTCAAGAATCCCCCTTCAGCTGCCGGCGTGAGGCATTGCCACGCTGCCTACCTGCGCTGCTGCACGCGCCTCTCCGCGATGTCCCGGCTGCCTGCTGCCAGCAGGGTCGGGGTACAGCAAAGTGGCTCTGAGACGGCGTCTGAGAGCTGCGCTAGCAGCACCCAGAGCACGTTTCAGCTCCCAAGCTCGCCCTGTCCACACTCCAGTCCTCGCACACTCGCTCGGTCGGAGGCCAGGCACGAACTGCCGGGCCGCGCTGCCGCGCCCGCGTTCAAGCAGCGTGGGCCAAGCAGTCACAATGCGTCGCACGGAGACGTCACAAACCACGGCTCGGCCGTGTCGCCAGTGCTCACCTTCACTGGGTGACATCACCACCCGGCCCACAGCGATGTCGCCGTCCATTGATGCTCATCACCGTGCGCCGGCCTCACCTGCCGCACGCGTGCCAGCAGCACTGCAGCCCCAGCACACGTTCCTGGGCTTTCCCCAGTGCCGCTGCCCGCTCCATTCCCCCCCACATCTCGTGTGCTTAGTGTCAGTGTTTCACACCAGTCAGTGGCACCTGGGCCGTGTCTTCCCACAGGCCCAGTGGGTGACTCTGGCCATGGCAGGCAGCCCCAGGCTCATACACCATGAAGGTTTATCATTCAATAAAAGTTCACGCTTCCCTCTGTCTCTCGGACTGGACGATCTTAGAGGCCTTTTCCCTCGTTAACGATTCTATGATTCTGTGCTACCCACATGCATGATCGCTGCTTAGTGAAGCTTTCCCTGACGTTGGCAGCATTCCTTCATTGATGCATTTAATATTTTCTATTTGATCTTAAGTGTGTGCTGGTCTGGTCTGTTGCAAAGCCAGCTACTGCAGAAGCAGCATAGGGCTGCTATTTAGTTTGAGCAGGATAGCAAAAGGGGACCAGTTTTGACCAGAATGGAGAACTAGAGTTACTAATAGATTTTCATTACTGAGATACTGTGTAGCCACTGGGGCAACTTGTCAAAGTGCCGTGGAATTAACTGACCACCAGGGAATAGGATGTGAGTGTGCCTTGCCTGATTATGGCCTGCTATGCAAGAACGCAAGGCAGTCGCAGGTGATGATGTGGTTCCAAGTCTGTAAGCAAACTTTATTTTTCTTCAATTTGGAGTCTCAGTTGAAGCTCCTACGTTTCACAATACTTGGCTGGATCTTGGCCTCGATGAAAGCATTTCAATGCACAACCTAAGGCTTTTTTGCTCACTGTTCATGTTCATGTTCTTTTTATAACTGTCTTTTCTGAGACAAAGGTTCCTTCTGTTGGAAACTTTATTGCATGGCTCCCAGTCTGATAGTAGTCATATTAAGCTGTTCTCCTTTTTGAAAATTCATGGAATCATGGAGGGATCAAGATATAACTTAAGCGTTTCAAAAATTTAGGAGATCACTAACGGCTATATGCTGTTACTGGGTTTGAGTTTGATTCTTTGCACTTCTGTGTGTTCTCCTTCCTCTGATAAGATCCTGCATTTGTCACAGTGGGATGGGTTGGGACAGGATCTACTTTTGTGTGTTTGTCTGTGCACTTTCTAGACGTGTAGAAAGAGGTGAGCAGAGACAAAATCGCAGTTTATATTCATATAAAATATGTTTGTCAGAAGTACTCGTGCTATCAACCAATTAGAATTCTATTCCAAAGAAGCAGAAAATTGATGTAAGTATTTCTCTCAGCGCACAATGTGTATGGGAACTGCTGAATCACAGCCTGAACCTCTGATTGATCGCCTGAGGCAAGCACTGAGTCAGCCATGGGAGCACAGGTGAAGGCAATTCTGTGCTGCTGGAAGGGGTGGAGCCTGGCTGCACCTCTCCTAGACCCATTTAAGAGCTGAGTACCAGTGGGGAAGGATTTTTTCTGGCAATGTGCTCTGATGGAGTTTTACCAGTAAGCCTGGGATATGGGTGAGCATCCTTTTCTTTGTGCTTTGGTGTAATAATTATGTTGCTGAGTGCTCTGGTATACCTCATAGCTGTAACTTCTGTGCGTTTGTTGATTGTACACTATGGCTGCAGACCGCAGTTTGCAAAACAAGTTCCATGTCTTGGTAGAATCTGCCTTTTTTTGGTTGGTTAAGTTTATTTTTCTGTGCTTTTGTTTATTTATCTATTGTCTTGGAGGTGTTGGAGAGGTTGGTGTGCTTCTCTTTGCAGTAGGCTGTTCAAAGTATTTGGTTAATGCAGGCTGAGGTATTTTTCCATGAATGAAAGGAATGAGGGGATCTCAGTATGTTTTCTTTCTGTGTATATTCTGGAATAGGTTGATGTTTTTCAAGGTGGACCCGATGAAAATCCTCCACCTTTCAAGGACGTGGTGGAATCCAGCTAGTAGTCTGTATCTATCCAAAACGTCTATAGCCAGCAGCTCCTCTGATTTGCTTGTGGGCTATTGCAGGACTGGAAGTGGTGAACCACTGTCCTGTTTTCAGTGCTGCTGTGATGGTTCTATCTCCGTTCTTCAGGGCAAATGGAGGGGAAGGAAGCTGTCAATGCTGAGCGTGTGGCTGAAATGAGGAAAATAATCTGCTGCTGCGTGGAGAGAATGCAAGTGATGCACTTAAAAGGGCTGTAGGTGAAACTGGTTAAAAGTGACTGCCAATGCTGGCAGGAATTAGTTTGGGAATTTCCATTAATGCTGTAGTAAACTTGTTCTTGTTGAGTATGTGTAGTCATCATTCCTCTGAGTAGTTTAAGGTTCTCTCTGGAAAGTGCTGGACAGCGTAAGATGTGTGCTGCCTCTGTGAGAGCACCCACACTTATATCCAAAAATGCTTAAGAAACAAGCTTTGAAGATCTTTGCTATCTGTGAATGTCCTGGTCTTTTCTCTGCCCCTAGCTGGTGAGTGGGCTGAAAGCGTGCCGCTGGAGATTGTTGTTCCTTCTGTGCAGGAGCTCCAGAGCTCTCTGCTCCTATTAGAAGGGAGCAAGGCCAAGTCATGCAGCAGGTAGCAGCTTCAGGGAAGTCTGTACAGGCTGAAGCCTCCTCTCTTGTAAGAGACTGGGAGTGCTAGCCATGCAAAAGGGACTCCAGCATAAAGCATGAGTTAAGCATGGGGTTCACTGAGGTATACGCTCTCCATCTTGCATGAGGATGACTGATTTCAACTTAAGTACATCAACAGTTGCTGCTCCGATTTGGAGCTACAAATAATAAAGCCTCCTAATAGACATTTAAGGGTGTGCAACAATTTCCAAAGCTAGTGCCTTCTCTCTTAAGAATAACTAAGCAGGACTTCACAGGAAATAAACTATTTAGGAGACAGAGTGATGCATGTCTACAAAACTCTGTCATGTGCATGAATGGATGGAACTGATCATTTGAGTAGGAGTAAACAAATGAAGCTCTCAGAACCATATGCTTCTCCCCCCCTGGGTTTCCCCAGCTCCAATGTGATGTGCAAGGAAAAAGTTGACCAGATGAACATTGCCAAAGAGCACTGACTGCTTAAAACTGACATGAATCCATGAGAGGACTGAACAAAAAAGAGAGGAGAGATCTATTGGAGCTGATAAATACAGAGGAAACAAATATAGCCCAGGAAATCCCCCAACTAAATGTAGTCAGAGGTTGGGACAATATTTGGGGGAAGTGCTTGTTCCTCCTTGTTTATAACCACCGTGTAGAAAAGATTTGGAGTTAGAGAATCCTTGTTTTGACTTAACACTGCTGCTCTTGTGTGCTTGCTTTATGCATAACTGGGCTGATACAGGCACTTATTATCACAGATGTAAATGAGCTGATACTTGCTGCAAGTAGTCTCCAGAAGTGTATCCTAATCATATTTGAGTAATTATCATTATATTGAATAATATATGTATACAATAATATGTATGGAATAATATGTACATTAATAATATTCTTCACCTAATGATTAAGCCTACTAAGCACTGCAGTTGGTTCAGAAAAGTAACATTTTGTTTGACAGTTGCAGCTTTTGCTTTCATATCCGCTTCCTTCTTTCTTGAATTCTCTGGGAACTGAACATAGTAAAGATAAGGATAATTTCTCTCCTGTACGACTTTAATACTTGCATTTACAATCACGTAGACTGGAAAACATATTCAAGATGGCCACGTCCAACTGTCAACCTGACTATGTCCCTTAGCAGCCTTATCCATGATACTCTCAGTTTTGAGTTGATTATTTTCTCAGAAATGTTTGTTTTCCTTCATGGGTTTCATGATGGAAGGACTTAGGAAGCTGCAAATTTTCACATTTGAAATTAGGCTTTATCATTAGAATAATAATTTTAAAAGCTATTATATTCTGGTCTTGATTGCTTTGATGGAGACACCTCCTATTGTGCCATGTAACACCCCAATTCCATCTTTGCCCGTGTCTCTGGTGCGAACTCCACTGCAGGAAAGAATGCATACAGGATATGCTGGGAAATCTGATATAGTTTCATTAGTTGTCTTTAGGGAATAATAATTCCTGCAGAAAGGGTTTTACTTGTTCTTCAATCCCTCTTTAGGTAACTTGAAGTTATTTTCCTTGTGTCTTTTGAACAAAAATGTACTTTTCCCACAACGTGTGCATGACATTTTCCATTTTATTCCCACTCACTTTCATGCACAAGAGATATTGGACCAAGGCAAAAATCGTCTATTGCTGAGTCGCTGTGCAACTGTACATCCTTTTATTTATCTGCAGTCAAGCTTCATAGCTGAAAGGCACAAGCGTAGATCTGTCATTTTAAAAAACAAAACAAAAAAAAAACCCAAACAGGTTTGGCCACAATGAGATTGAGTATAGGCAGTGATTTCCTGGCCAATAAAAACAAAGAGGCAGTTGGAATGAAGAGTGTTGAAATAAAATTGGTGACGTACTTTACTGTTTCATAAGCAGTAATGGTATAATTTGCAACTCTTGTGTTACTAACCACATGCAGGCAGAAAGTCACTGTTTATATGGGCAAGGATAGCTCTTCACAAAGAGCTGTGCATCCATCATTGAAGAGAATTCTTCAGAAATCAATAAAGACAAATGCTTTATTGACGGCTAAGCTGCCAACTGTAGTATTCAAGGTACCTATAATGAATGTGAATTCTGAAGCTAACATTCTGATATTGAGATAAAGTACCAAAAAGAACAGAAAAAGTATCTGTAGTCTTGTGCTTGAATATTAACTAAAATACCACTCAGGAGTGCAGTTGATGGGCTCTTCCTTCCAAAGAGTCTTCAGTCGCTGTGCCCAGGCACTAAGCATCTCCTTCCTTTTCTCCTCAGAGACGTATTCCGGAGCAAAGCAGATGTGAGGCTCGAGGACTTTGACACCACAGAAGTGCATGATGCCATGCTGAACCCGGAAGAAAGAAAGAAACGCCTTAGCAGATAGTTAGCTTTTCACTTTCAATTCTAGCATGTGGAATATTCAAGTCTAAAACTGTTTCTATGACCCTATGTAAGACAGGTTTTCTAAACCAGAGCCTTCATCAGGAGAAGGGAAATTAATTGCTGGCATTTAATATTGATCTTGGCAGTTGCTTAGTGTTGAAGGGCAGACATTAAGCAGAATGGCATACAGTGCACTGAATATGGTCAGCTTCATTGATCCTGGTCTGTGCAATTTGTCAGCTCAACTTGCCATTTCTGTGTGTCTGAATTCACAGCTGCATTTAACATTCTTTATAAAGTTGATTTGTGAGATATGCAGCTGGGTAGCCTCATAAGGGCACACAGCCAGTATTCCAAATGGTTAGACCAAAGAATATCTAGAGAAATTAATACGTACTTATTGTGTTATTTCAAGAAGTAGCTGGCTCAATTTGCCTTACCACCTAAATTACTCAGAGTACTTTTTCTACCTCTGACAAAAGAGCAGCAATAAAAAAAGACATGCCAGGATAATGTGAGTGCCTTCCTGTCCCCCATCCTACATGACTCAGGTAGGTATGGGGAAAAGAAACTCTGCTAGAGCTAAAGGAAATCCTATTATGCCAGAGAAGCTAAAAGGCAAACATCATAAGCTTTCTTTAGAGAAGGTACAAAACAACTTTAAAACTCTCTGGACTTTCAAAGCAGTTGCAAGATTATAGGGCCTAGCTTGTAGATGGTTGGAATTAGCAATCTAGTTATTTCTTTTTCTAACACACAATAAATAAATCTTATGTAAAACTAACATCAATACAATTGAAAGAAAAAATTGAATAGTAAAAATTCAGGCAAGTAAGTAACAACAACAGTTTTGATTTATTATACCTGCATGGGCCACAGGATATAGCGGATGTCACCACTCATGCTTCCTTTTGCATACATCTCCTCAGTTCCTCCAGTAGTGAAAGAAAACATAGCTAACTTGTTCTAGAATTAAAAAACCGAAACAGCACAGTGCTTAAGTTAGGCATGTTTAAAGAAGAGTTGCTGAACAGTTTAAGAGAGATTCAGGAAAACCTGGACATCATCAATTTCTAGGGGTCTCCTGTTTCCTAGAGCTCAGATGTAGCAGCAGCATGGAGTCACAGACTGAACATATGCAGCTAGATGATGGATGTGCAGATACACATCATAAAGAAAAGGAACTGCATATACTGACACCCTTTTATGAAACAGGGCTGACCCTTGCTTTCTCTGATTAGATGTTTGGAAAACTGTGGCTGGAAAGCATTCTGTTCCTGAGGATATCTTTATTCCCTTCTCTCATGAATGCAAAAATTGAATTCTACAGACTTCATTCAGACTTGGGATTGCTTGTCTCTTTCCAAGCTATAAATGATTTTCAAATTATTTCTCGGGTGTTCTAAAACCCGCGTTTCTTCCAATTCAATGACTGTGGTATTGGCCACAGGCTTGTACCCAGCATGTGTTCTCTCTCTTAGTAATTAAAACTACATTTTTCCTGGCATGACTCAGTGCAGTATCTCAGTATCTCTTCCTTGTTGTGATCAGCTTGCAGCTATGATGATTGCAGCTTACTCCTATTCATCTCAGTGGGGCAGCTATTTCTCAAATGTAAACCAACTGAAACATTTGGAATAGTGAAAATCAGAAATGACAAAGATTACAGTGCACAGAAGGGCTGCTTGGAAGAATGAAGATACTGACCTTCTATAGCCCCACTAGTCTGAACTGGTATGAATATCTCTGAGCAACAACAAAAAAACAACTGCTACAGCTGGAATTTGGAAGCGTGGCACTTACATCTTTCCCCCTTGACTTCAAAATGATTCATTTTATTTATTTATTTTTTTTTACCTTTTGCAATGTACTGCAGAACATTGATGTCTGGATTATGTTTTGGAGGAAGATGAGGGAATGAGGCCCAGTAATGGACTAGAATATAGTTCTTGTAACTCCTTGTACTTAGAGACTATTGAGTGCTGCTCAAGATCCCTCTGGACTGACAAGTACCTCAGTGTCAAAGACTTGAACTGATGTATTAAGGTTGCTCCAAAAGTAATGCCTTCTATTTATTTTCAAGGAAACTACAACAGATACAAAAAGCATGTAGTATTACTATCTCAGCGTTGCCACTGCTGCAATGTACTACTCACCACCTCACTGTGCTCACAGCCCCTGTTTGGTCTCCAGAAATGTCCAGCAAGTGTAGATGAATGTCAATGAATGGCATGTTTTCTGCATGGATGAATTAAGTTCCACGCCTTTGTTTCATACGCACTTCCATTTCAGATGTCAGTTGGTCAGACCACTCCTCTGCTTCCATCTGTCACACAGCAACAACATGTAACAGAATACTGGAGGGAAGATTCAACCTCTACTGCCATACCACCACCTGACATCGTGGGCCAACATAATAAATTTGGAGGCATTACTTTTGGAGTGGCCCTTATAACTGCAGTGCTGAAGGCCTGAATAAAGCCAGATGCTTCCAGAAACGAGTTATTCCTCCACAGAATGGAGGACAGCTGAAAGTGAGAGCTTTATACAAACATAATGGAACAGGTAATTTCCAAGCCATGCTATGGTTCTATGATTCTATGAAAAGAAAGACCATTATCTAAAGTGCACTGCAAAAATTTTGAACTTAATAAAAGTCTCAGAAACATACCTTGAGCAAACCGGAGTCATAGCAGTTTGGAAAATCGTGAGCAAATCCTTGGACCAAGACTCTGTCCATCCAGCCTTTCATGATTGCTGGCATGCTGAACCAGTATAAGGGAAACTAGGCAAAAAATGAATGACTTTGTTAGTGCAGAGAGCCTAGGGCGTCCTTAGGCCTGGTGTGTAAGCAATCTCTTGTTTTCCTAATCTGTTCAGATCTTGTGTACATCTTCGAGGAAGAGAGGCAGTAACTATGCTTGGCAAAAATAACTGAAGTGCTCTGTTTGTAGTAATCTCAGGTACACAGCTGAGCAGCTGGAGTGTGTTAATACCACGGTGAATGTCAGAGCTTCCACGTGAGTGGAAGTTGGAAAATGGTAGAGCTGCAAAACGTTGTTTTTCAAACTCAAGGCCATACAAAATGCAAAAGCAATGTATAAGCTAATGGTTATTGTTGCCAAAATGGCCACAGGGAGACCTATTACCAGGACATCTGGTGAGCAGTTCTGATCTGATGTTTGTTAACGCCATGATGTTCTAAGACACTGTCTTGCAGCCCACTGACATGATGATCTTGAACCACCATTTTGAGAAGAAAACTTCCTCTCTTAACAGGAGATCTCCTTTTTTTTCCCCCTTCTTTCCTTATTATTATATTGTATTATATTAATTATATTTTTTCTGCACCAGAATGTGCTCTACTCCTCCTGGTACTTTACAGACAGAAAGTAGAAAGCAACTTCTTCCATCAGGGATGTTTTATGATACTTATATGAGACAGTATTTTGGAAATGATGAAAACGTGCATTGAGATACTTGCTCAGGATGCAGTCATATCCTAAATTTCACCAGGAACAGAACAGCTGAATACATGCAAGCTGTGCCTAGGCCAACAGTTTGATTGCGAATTTGGTCACAGTATTTTCCTGAATATCAGCACTCTGGAGGCCAGTACATTGTGCACTTTATCCTTGCTATTGCCTGCATTTGCACAAGTATGTGACATGCTTCACTCTCTACACTGCTGATGCCGCTGTTTCATTTAGGACCTGCTCTGCACCCAGGCATCTATCTCCCATAGAGAACACTGTTTCCACATTGTGGGGCTAGTGTTGCTTCCTGTGATTTTTTGGGCATGCCAAAGACAGGACTGCTGCAGAAGAGAGCAGAGATGAGTTGTAAAACTCAGCTAGCAAGTCCAGATGTTGCTTGTCCAACTCAGCAATGAAAGAGGGCAGTATGGTTGGGGAAGTCAGAACTCCCCAAGCTTGCTGGCTGCCCCAAACTCCTTGCTCATGAAAGAAGCCATGCTCAGCTTCTTGCTGCTTGATAATCATGGTCAGGTACATTGCTGTGAACACAGATGTTACATTTGGCCTTGTTGCAGCAAGTTTCTGGATTTGCTGTTACAACTACTCCAGTAATTGTACTCCTGATCTGTGCTTGTTCCTGTGCTATTATTTAGAAGCCTTTGTTCATATAACTGATGGTTTGGTGTTTGCTACAGTTTCCCAAACTTGAAAGTGCTTACTCGCATTTAAACCCTTACATTCGTGTGCATAAATCTGTGTTTGCTTTGCTTGTGCTCCGAGATGTGAGTATAGGGTTGGGCTGCATGATAATAAGGCACTGTTCTCATACAGAGAAACTGTATGAACTATAGCATTTGCACTCAGTACTTTATAGTCTAGTGGACCCATGCAATTGTTTTAGAGTGCAGTGGCATAAGAAGCAGTCTTCACAAAAGCATTCTAATTGCACTGTTTTTGAATGTTAGTTTCTAAGTGAAGTGCAGGTGTGAATTTTACTTGGCTGTTTTCAAGATCTGATTTCAGATGCCTTCCTATTTGCTAAAAATGTCAGTGTGGAGCCGTTATTTGTGTGAAAAATTCATACTGTACTAGCACAAATAATACACTCGATCTGGTATTTTTGATGTTTTCTGAAATACACACCATATCAGAAGAAACCTGACACCTTGAAATTGCTATGCTGGGTACAAACTGTTTATGTTGATTGCTGAACTGCTGCCTGTTTTCATTCTGGCTAGAATCAATGTACCTAATGAAATCTGTAATCTTCTCACTTACTATTCCTTTTAGGCTGTTCAGCCCTGTACATTACAACAGAAGTATTTGAATGCAATTTAAAATAATGACCTGAAAAATCAGTAAATCTGCTTCCTGCACTTTCTTTTGCTCTTCGATCAAATCATTGGACAAACATCCTTTCTTGTAAGCTTCTGTCATCTCCACTGCATAACTGAACTCATTCGAGTTGTGCAAGCAACCTGTGGAGAGAAGGGCACAGTCATTGCTTACTCCATCCACAGCACTGTAGCCAAATAAGAATCAAATACATGTTGTGATCTGCAGTTCTAAAATGAGTTACTGCTTGCCTTTTTTTCCCCACCTACATTTCTTTTCATGGCTATTCAGTATCATCACAGCTGATAGATGATGACCTGACTGTAAACTGGAGAGGAATGTATGACCTCCGAGTACTGAAACTTTCACCTTTCTGAAATAACATGTGATGTGCAAAAAGAAGACCTAATCTGGTGATACAGGTGGATGATTTAAGAAGATGTATGAGAATTCTGCTGATTGTTCTGTCTCTGCATTAGAGATTACTGAAACCGCAGTCACAACACTATGTAGCTGCTCTTCAGTTTCTGTGGCAACTCAGCAGAGGCTGGGTGGTTCCCCAGCCCCAGTATCCATTGGCTGTGCTGGCTCCATCATGATTCAGGTATGTCCAAATCAAACTACACATCCGTTCCTGCTGATTGAATTAGCAGTTCATCAGTCTTTAGCAAAAGGACTGGTTGAAAGTATGGGAAGGTGGAAGTATTAACCTCATAAACTGAACTAAGTAAGTTGTACAATGATATCTGAAGGCATTTCTCTCCCAGGAGAAATAGACTTCAGATGAGAGGTTGATTCTGAACAAGTGCTAATGCATTTCTGTCTCTCAGTAATCTCACTGTGAGCCAAGGGTCATGCCCAGGAACGGACTTCTAGAAATGCTTAAGTCTTGCAGTCTCACTGTTGATAAGCATCTTCTTCTCTCTTTGCCAGTATTCACCTTAGACCTGCGACATTTCTTTTTGATTCTTGCTCTGAAGAAAGACTGTCAGTTCTCATAGATGGTGTTAAAGTTTTGTTTTTCTTGACTAGAAAAATTACTATGGCTAAATGCTATTAAATAGTTGTGAGATGCCAAAATGACTCACAAGCCCGTGCACTTAAATGCCTGGAGCTAATCTGCAGAAAGAATTTGTAATATTGTTCATTAAAGAGAGGTTGTTCTTCGAGTGTCTCTTCAGTTGAATGCAAATACCAGGAAAACAATGGCATCCCTGATTCCCTACTATAGACAGAACACTGTTTTACAGGTCTGTACTATACAGATGATTCGTCTTTCTAACTGAGGGGGCACTTCTAAGGTTTATTAAAAAATAGGTGATACTTACACTGACATTTCTTGATCAATGCTTGCAGAAAATAAAAATCAGTCTTGTTAGTTGAGTTATATTTGTACAGAATTACAGCAACTGCTTTTCAGAGCGCACCTAACAGCATGGGCTCTAGATTGTTAATGCAGCAGGATGAACAAGATGCAAGTTTGTCTCATTGCTACTGTTGAAAAATTTCTCACCAACAATGTCATTTCTTGTTGCCCGTGGCTCAAATTGCATTGCATATAAGTCAGACACTGTGACACTGCAGCCCTGTTTGCTCAGTTCTTCCACAGCAACCGTCTTCAAAGATCCATTAAAAGAGTTGGGCTCTTGATGTGCATAGACTATCAGGACTTTTCTCCCTGGAGGCAGAAAGAAGAGCAGAGGACACCTTTGAGATAGGCAAATACAAAACAGTTTCTGTGCTGTGTTTTCCAAGCAGCACCAAACTAGTGAAAATCACAGCAACAGCATTTAATTCCTGCTTGACAGAAGTGACTCATGAGGAAGTAATCAGTAAGTGCCCCTGCAACAATTCTGTGCTATGCTGGGTTTTCCTAGGTGGAACTCAGTGGACAGTGGATGTATTTCTTTAGCAGGCCACGCTGCCCTACACCAGCTCAACTAAGGGCGTTCCAATTTCTCCTCTGACAAGGTCCTCTTGAATCAGCTTTTGTGTTTGGCTGATTCCGCTACCACCCCACAAAACACCCTGCAACAGGAAACAAAAATAACCTTCTGTTGGCCTGTTGGCTTAGCTCCCTTAGCTGGCTAGACAGGCCACAGCAATTGTGCAAACAGGGTAGGCTCAAAGCAGCACCAACTTACACGTCCTCCAAACTGTTGTAGAAACGATTTCCGGGAGCTTAGAGCACCTTCCTGCGGGTTCTCTCTACGTCTTCTGTTTTAGTGCTGTGTGAATGACAATATCAGATGTTTCGATGCCACTGTCGCACTTCAGTGTCTTCATGGGGACACCAACAAAAAGTGACATGATTTTTCTTAGTGTGCCAGTGAGCTTTCTGGTTTATGTCAAATTGCCAACAGAGTGTATTTAAGCTAAACTGAACGGCGAGGCAGATATGGTGGGATGTGGCTTCAGAAAGAGCAGCGAGGCAGTGGCACAGGCTGCCCAGGGAGGTGGTGGAGTCACCGTCCCTGGAGAGTTCAGGAAACATGTGCATGTGGCACTGAGGGCCATGGTTAGTGGGCATGGTTGATGGTTGAACTAGGTGATCTTAGCAGTCTTTCCTAACCTTAATGACTCTATGATTCTATTCTCTGAAATTTCCAGGTACTATAGAAAAAGACTGAATATGCAAAATGAGCAGTTCTCAGTTCCCAGCTGGCAATATGTAATTCAGCATCTCATGATTTCATTTTCTACAGTGGTTTGTTGCCCTTGAAGTGCAGCTGAGGGCACTGTGACACCGTGTTTGGAGAGACTGGAGTTTTCAAACGCATCCTTCGCTGAGGGAATTGAGGTGATTTGACAAAATAACGGCTTAGTATCACAAGTCAACACTACAGGCATTCCATACATTCCATACCCCAGCCTGCCGAGGGTCTAAGTGAATCGCATTTGTATCAGTAGCTATTCTTACCTGCCATTCTCCAGTAGCGCTTGGAAGGCTCTGTCCTGTGACTCCGATACGGCCTGCAAGCTCAAACCACGCGTTCGTTTACGTGAGGAACATCAGCAGGAGGTAGACGAAGATCTCTGCCCCGTGCGGTCTCTGTCTGCAGGAGCAGGGCGGGGGGCCCGCAAGCAGATCTTGTGTGAGCTCTGCCGAGCAGACAGAGCGCTGTGCGAGGACGGCCTTCTTAAATCTCTCCTCGCCCCAAGGCTGGCAGAGAATCGTGTTTGCGTTTCGGCCTTTCTTCCTGCTGCTTTTCCAAACTCCGTTTCAGACTCACTCGCCGCTCCCCACCGTCGCTGCAGCGCAGACTCCACAGCGCCTCCGCAACCTTCCCCGCCGTGCTTTACCCGCAGCGACTTCTCGCTGCCCTCTCGGCGCCTTCCGGAGGGCGGGCCCCTATGCGGGGCGGGCCATGGCCCGAGGCTGTGGCTGCTGGAGGCGTTGGTTATGGTGCACGTTGTCATTCACGTTGTGTTTACATGTATAGGTGTATGTATGTGATGACCACGTGCTCGTGTTCTGCTGTAAAGGGCGATGCTCGTCGCTGGCAACAGCAGCTCGGTGATAGGTACACCCACACCTGCACCAACCCTGTGTGTAGAGGAGTCAGAATGACTCTTTGGGGTTTCCAAATGGAGAATCTGAGGGGAAAACCAAGCGTTTGACTGATCAATAAGTGCCAGAGCTACCTGCGTCACACTGGCATTTTTCACCTGCTGCCCAGATTACGGGAGACACAAATTCAGTTTGTTTTCCTGTTTGCCTTTGGACAAGTCCCCTTGTAAGGATTTCAGCAGCCTGGTTCAGGCATTTCTTAGAAATCGAATGAGTACATTTTTCGGAGCTTTAAGAAAAAGTTCAGAGGTTTTAAGAATCTATTTACTTTTGCTGTTTGGGCAACTGTGTGAGATGGAACGGAGTTTCTTACGATCTCTCTTCCACTTCTTTTGCATCCCCCTCATTTTTAATGTTATTTAGTTCCCAGTGAAGTGTTAAGAGTGGCTCAGACATCCTCAAAGAGCAGCGTACACCTGCAATGAGAATTTCATTTTGCAGGTTGGAAATCTCTCTCTCTGTCTCTCTTCCCCCCTCCCCCCCCCATTGCATTTGATATCTCTCTTCAGTCTTTTCTTGTAGCAAAAAAAGAATGTTTTTTTGCTTTTTCCTATAAATATATTTCTCACTCTAAGGAATTCATTGCTAATTATCAATGAAAAAAGTAGCAGTGATTAAAATAGAATAAAATTCTCCTGTCCCTGTCAGTTATCCCTGAGCACTGACTGAGTTGGGCCTCATAAGAAATATGTAAATTTGTAGCTTATTTTGCTTTTGATTGGCACAGGCTGTTCTCCTCTTTAATATAAAACATAGATCCTAAGAAAATAACAATGGCAGTAGGGATTCAGACCAAAGGCCTGTTTAACTTCGTATCCTGTCTTCAGCTCTGCTCACAAGTAGCTTCCTTCAGAAGAGTAAGGGCAGGGTAAACATGTAGGATATTTGCCCCACTGCTTAGCCTGCAGGTATCTTCACCTTGGACCTGAACGTACAGCAGTTTGTTTGGTAAACTTCAGTTTACCTCTCTGTTAAGTACTTTGCCTGACCTCCCTATGAATCCATGCCAATTCCTTAAATGTGCAGTGTTCTTAGCAAAAACTTTCACAGACTTGCCTTCTGTGTGAAGAATGATCCCTTTTGGCTGTTCTGCATCTGGTTCCTAACAGCTTCAGTTGATGCCCCTTCGTTCTTGCACAGGTCATGACAGTGAACGACAGGCCATCACTGCTAGTGCCCTATGACCAAAGGTGATTTGCTGGACTAGGGTGCAAGGTACAGTCATCTTCCTTGGAAAGTAAATAAAATAGATTATAGCTACACAGGAATGATTTTAGTTTCCTTATAATTTTTTGAGGAGTAATGGCAAGTTTATTGTGCACATGGTTATTTCTCTTCAATAGTGTGTTAAAATTTTAAAATATGTATCCAAAGGACATCTGTTGTGCCCTCTAGTGCTTAGTGCAAGGGTTTGCACTTTTGTCAGGGTGGTTAAAGTGAAATGAAGCCTTCATCAAGGGCAAGTTTTTTTATCTTTAATGCAGGTTCTCTTCCAGAGGAAATGTTGAAGAACCTTTGCCACAGTGAGAATAAGCAGTAAGGAAAAATGATACCTATCACTGTATAGGAGAAACTCTCTACAAAATTAGTTTTCAGTGAACATTCCAGAGAACAAGACCCCTGAGACAGTAGTGCTAAAGCTGCGAATGCTGAATTTCTGCACAGCACCATCATATGTGTCTCTATAACACTGTTGTTACTCCTGTGATTGTTTTGTGAGGCAATGAAAAGGAGACAGTCAACCTCATATGGGTTTCTCTCTTCAAAGCAGTAGATTTGACAGGCTTCAATAACAGGAAGGAAGGAAGCAGGAAGACTACGTAACTAACAGCCTCTTACTGTGACCTGTTTTTCTTCTCAGCCTCTGTCTGGGAGTGAATAACAGAAATTGAAAACGGTAACCTCTTGTGTTAAGAATCATACAGTATCTAAGTGAAAAACAAAGCATCAACGAGGACAGTGTCCTGGGAAGCAATTCTGATTACTCATTCAGCTTGTTTTTAAAACTCGTGATGTTAAATATTTAATAATGCTCAAATGTTTTAGAATGCTTTCAAATATATATTTAAGGCTTTATCAGTTTGAAACTTAACTGCAACTTCTCCTGGCAAGTCTTTGCCAAGGTATTAGGGGAGCAGTTAGTCAAGTACCAACCTATGCAATGCATAAATTTGATAAAATGAAAGAATCTCCTGATTTAGAAGGGGCTCACTGTGGTCATTGAGTCCAGCTCTGTCCTCTGCATTTACATTACACAATCATTACCTAAAATTGTCCTGGGAAAATTCTAAGTCAGAAAGTTTGGACCAGATGGATTTAAACATTACACATTAGACAAGAGAACAGTTTATAGGGCAGAAACTTTGAGCATAGGCAGATGGGAGGTAGCTACAAACCCTGCTGAATCGCTCCCTCTGTCTTAAGGTATCAGTTTGCCTATGCATAGAATATAAACTATTATTATGATATTATTTTTGGTTTGTACCAACTACTATGACAGCAGTGTTTGTTCTATGAGTAAACTATAGTTACAGGTGAAATTCAGGTTATATAGATGTTTGTCTGATAGAAAAAAAAAGCTGCCCAAGAAGGGTTGGTTGTGGTAATGTAATAGCAAAATGAAGCAATGAAAATGAGTCCTGAAATACATTTGGAAGATGGCATTCATAGGGTGAACACACACGTACATATTGTATCTGCCAAACACAAGGAGGACTTTGACTAACTCCCTTTTTGTTTTGCTGCTTCAGTGAGAAAGAAGACAAGACATTGGTATATGGATCTATTGCTCACTGTATTTTGGCAGTTTAATTTGGAAGTATATTCTCAGCACTGTCTTGCTCACTGTTTCCAATACCAGGTTGTTAATGTTGATGTTAGGTAGGAGACTGCACACTGAAACTTTTTTTTAGAATTACAGCATTTGCTGAATTGGAAGGGACCCATGAGGATCTTCAAGTCCAATTCCTGGCTCCACAGAGAACCACCTGAAATCCAAACTCCACGTCTGACAGTGTTGTCTAAATACTCCTCGAACTCCAGTGCTTGGGGCCGTGCCCACTGCCCTGGGCAGCCCATTCCATGCCCACCACCCCCTGGTGCAGAACCTTTCCCTAACCCACACCTCACCCTCCCATGATGCAGCCTCATGATGTTCCCTCGGCTCCTGTCGCTGTTTTATGTTCTTCTCATATGATGGCACTTAAACCTATGCCTAGTGATGGAGGTGCACAGCACAGCACAGTGGGCAGCCCCTTCCTTGGTTTGGGCCTGATGCACCACAGTGTATGTTTGGACCTTTGGTCTGCCAGGGCACTGCTGTCTGAGATTCAGTTTGTCATCAGCCAGAACCCCCAGATCCTTTCCATGGGGCTGCTCTGCAGCTTCTTGTCCCCCAGTCTATACAGATATCCAAAGCTGCCTTGCACCAGGTGCAGAAACTGGCACCTGCTCTTGTTAATCTTCATATGGCTGGTGGTTTCCCAGTCTGCTAATTTGTCAATATCTCTATTCAAAGCACCTTTTGTATCTGCTGATACCGAAGTGCAATTTAGCAGTTCTGTGTAATTATATGTTCATCCTCTGCTATAAAAGGCTTCATCCAACAACTAGTCTCAATTTTGGCCTCATTTTTGTAATTTAGAAAAGCATTAACTTGAATATGCAAACAGAGTGTTAGCTTGATGTATGGCCTTTTCTCCATAATAAAAAAATATAAGTCTCACATCTGAGGCAGGAAATCTCAAGTTCATTTAGTATCTACAAAAACAAGCCTTCCAAGTTCATTTGTTTGATTGCTTGTTTTTTCATCTAAAGGAAGAATTATTACTCTGAAAAATTTACTCCTTTGTCCCATTCTCCTCTGAGGAAAAAAAATCATTAAAACTCTGTGTGGAGTTAGTATTCAAAATGAAACAGGTGGAAATATAGGGTATCTGTAGACTTAAAGATACCTTCTCAGAAAACCATGCTCACATGTATTCATGTTTTTAGTATCATAGCTAATGCATTGCTGCTTCTAGTTCAAGTCATTTGCACCAGTGCCTTTCCCTGAAATGTAAACTCCTTAGATACTCTTTAATGTTCATTCTAATCTGCATTTCCATGAACAACTGCAAGAAATTGAGAGGCAGTGCGTTCACACCCTGTTGCCTTTCAATCACAAGTGAGGCAAAGACATACTGCCTCTGCCTTGGCAAATATTCTCATTATTCAGATACAAAGGCAAATCCTAGATCTGCTGTCTTCTGTACACGAAGATTGAAGTGGTCAGATTTGACATTTCAGTCTGTGTTCAAATGAGTATCTCAGGCCAGACTTCTGAATCAAAAAGTGCAGGACAGATTACTTACTTAGAAGTAGCAAAACTGTCCTTCTGTGACAAGGTTGAGCTCAAGGATTATTGAAAAACAAATGAAAAGACAACGTAGTTGCTGGTCACAGCCAATACAAGGTCATGTGGGGAAAGTCCTGTTTAATTAACTTAATCTCTGTTTATGGCAAGGTTACCCACCTGGTTGACCAAGGGAAGCCAATTGAAGTAATCTTTTTGGATTTCAGCAGTGCTTTCAATACTGTTCCTTACAATACCCTTATGGACAAAATATCCAGCATAAAGCTGGACAACAACATAATATGAAGGTTAAACTACTGACTGACAGGTTGGGATCAAAGGGTTCTAATAAATGGGCTTACATCAGGCTGGCAGCCAGTCACTAATGAGTGGGCTCCTTTTTAGGGTGAGTTCTCTTTGATGTC